CAATGATTTGACTGATTGAAAGCTCTGACTTTGATTGGCATAGCTCAAGTTACCACATGTGCTCCACCACATTTATCACTAAAATCCACTCTGTTCTTGATCAAGAAGCTTCTTGTCTTCCCTATCAAATATCAAACCAACCTGTTTGAAATTGACCTGACCCTACTTCCACCATTTCATTTATAATAATTACTTATAAAAAAATTAGTTTAATTGATTACTTGATAAATTATTTATTTCGAGAATCTGAATAAAAGAAATTTTGAGTTTTACTTTTATATAATTTATTAATGGTATTTCTTTCTTTGATTTGAGAATTAAGATTTCATTTGTTTTCTAAAAATTAATTTTTTAAAATAATTTTTAAATTTTTAAATATTTATTCGATAAAATTTAATTTATCAATAAAAAATTACTTCTTGGTTAATAAAAAATAAGATAATTTTTTTAAAAAAATTATTTATGAGTAAAATTATTTATTAATGTGTTTGAGTATGATTTAATTTAAGTTGAATTTTATACATATTTTTTTAAGTTTAAACTTAATTTGATTGGATGTTAAATATTATTATATTAATAATTATATTTTTATTTAAAATTAAAAAAATTAATATTACAATTTTTTAATATTTTAATATTAAATATTTTATAATTTTACTCAAGTAAGATTTTGAATATAATTTTTAAATTTGAACTTGATTTGATTCAACTTAAAAATTATTATATTAATAAAATTATTTTATTTAATTTTAATTAAAATTTAAAATATTAACATTAAAAGTCTTTTGATATTTTAATTTCAAATATTTTAATTTTGTATATTATTAAACATAAATATTTTTAATATTTCAATAATAAATAGTATTATATTATTATTTTAACAATAAATAATAACACACATTATAATATTTTTATTATTTTAATAATAAATGTTAAATAATATAATAATATTATTTTTAAATATGAATATTTTTAATAATTTCTTATTATTTTTTGTTTAAAATATATATGTTTATATTCTATTTATTAAGGTATTTATATGACTATTTTAGTAATAAATATAAATAAAAAGATTTTTGTTATGAATTAATAATAAATATTTTGAATATCAAACTAATAGGCAGCCTGCACTATTGTTTACAAGTGAAAAAAACTCCGAATACATAATGCTTAAATAAAAAATATATTTATCTTAAATATGATTATTCAAATATTTTCAGTAATTTCAAAAAATAAAAACATAAAAAAATGAATCAAACATTAAAAAATTAAAACTTAATAAATAAATCTGATATCCTGCAACAGTAAAAAAACGAAATATAATCTCTGCTGATTCATATTTGGGAAAATTTTGGGGAAGATTTGACATAGATTAAAAAATTGAAATTTAAAAAAAGAAAATTGATCTCTTGTAGCAGTAAAAAATAAAATCTTCCCAAAATTCCCAAATTAAAAAATAATCTCCTGCAGCAGTAAAAAAAAAAAAAGGGGCCGTAGTAGATACTATCACATAATCAATTACTATTATACTTAAGAAAGAATAAGCTTACAGAACTAAAATATAATACTGCTTATACAACTTCAAATAATATTAAGTACTTAGGCATGCCTTTCAATCACTAGTTTTCATGAAAATCCCACTCAAAACAACATGCAACTCATGCATGTTCCAATGCATGATAAATTTTTGAAACTCGTCGATGAAGTAATGGTTCTAGTCGGAATGATGGAATCTTGCTTTGCCCTCTCTCTATTTCTCCTCTTATTTGCTTCACTGTCATTGTTTCTCATCTCTGTATGCACGAAAAAAGAAAAAAAAAGGCCCTTTAAAAATCTTGTCTTGTTAGCTCTGTTAATTCACTGCTTAAGAACAAACCCATTTTTTATTTAACAAACAAACCCAAATTTATTAACCCATTATGTTCCCTTTTTTTTTTTTTGTTTACTTTGGCTTCTTCAAATTGGAAGAAGCTCTGCAAATTTCAAATTTTTTTGGGATTGCATTTTGGAGTGGAAACGTGAAGTAAAGAGCTGTTTTTCAGGGTTCTGAAGTCATTGGAACCAGTGCTCTCTAGGTTTTTTTTTTTTTTTTTTACTGGTTTTCTCATTGAAACCAGAAGGGGGAAAAAGTGTGACAAAACCAATACAAAAATCGATATACGTGGCAGCCTCAGAATTCTTTGTGATTCTTTTTATATATAGTATATAGATATAAATATTTTAATAATAAATGTTACTATTTTAATATTAATAAAAATAATATTTTAAGAATAGTAATATTATTTTAAATATTTTAAAATATTACTATAAAGAATAATAAATAGTTTTACTTTAAGTTTTTTTTATATTAACAAACTATTTTAATATTAAATATTATTATTAAAATATAATTACTTTTTAATAGTAATAATTTTAATAATAAATAATTTTAATATACTTTAATAATTAAAAAAATTTTATTTCTTAATTGTTATAATAATATTATTAAAAAACAAAAATTTTGAAAAATAATAAAATAACAAAAAATATTTTTTAATTCATCCAAATATCAAAAAATCTTTACTTTTTAAAAAATATAAATATTTAAAAAAATTTGCCTAAAAATCAATTTCTACAAAAACAAATAAAATTTAAATAATTTAATTATTTTATATATCACCTTTTAAAAAAACGTATTAGTAAGTATTACTCTTATTTTAATTAATTTATTTTTCCTTGTATATATATTTGACACTTTACATGATTTCCATAATTCCATTCCAATTATATTTTGGCTAAATAAATCTATTTTTTATCTTTTTATTATCAAAATAAACCATTCACGCAATCTTTTATTTTCCTTGAGTATTGACATCTTTTCCGTGCTGTCCAACCTTTGGTAAGGCTTTCCTTAATCCCGACGATATCAGCGCCAAATCCAACACTTTGCTTCCGCCAATCCCTTTGCACGGCCTCGGATTAAGGCCTTACCTCCTCTCATATTGTTGCTTGCATTCCGTTTTTGTTTTTGTATTAAAATAAATTATTATTTCAAATGAAATAACTTTTGTAATCATTAATGTCATTTGATTTTTTCGTGTAAAAGTTCATGTGATATGATGATATGTTATGATTCATAATAATAAAATTAAAAAATATTTTTAAAAGATGTATTTTAATTTTTTAAATTTTTTTTCAGTCATAAAAATACAATTTATTTATTTATTTTAATTTTCGTTTTTTGTTTACATCATTTGTCACATCGACTTTCCAAAGAAATTAATTGTAACATAAATTAATTTTTTATTAAAATAAAATTTTATTAAATATAGATTAAAAAATAAATATTTATTTAAATACAATAAAAAAATAAAAATTTATAAAAGAAATAACAAAGTTAAAGAGACAAGGCTCTGCAGTCTAAGGCCAGTAGCTAGAGATTTTTTTTACTGCATTCCCCAAGTTTGCATAGGGCTGGCGTTGGGCTCTCAGTAGGGCCATAAAACGGGAAACCAACCTTTTGAAATGACCACCATTGTTTTTTTATTTGATCCGCAAAATTTGATACTAATCATTAAAATTAAAATTTTAATATTTTATTAATAAATCACAAAATTGAAAGATATAAAAAAAAGGTTAAATCATCGTAGTTTTATTTATTAAAGGGTATAAAATGAAGTTAAATGGACTAAGGATGAAAAAAAATAAAAAAATTTAAAAATTAATTTAAAATTATAGTGTTCATAAAGATTTAATTAATTTTTTTATTAGATTTGAATTAAAATTAAATATTAAAATTATATATTAAGTTCGAATTTAATTTTAAATTAAAAATAAAAAATTAAATTATATATTTTTAATTTAAATATATATTAAATATTTATAAAATAAAAATAATAAATTTATATCAAAATTTATTTTAATATATTAAAATAATATATAAAAATTAAAAAATAATAAATAAATTAAATCGATAAAATTTAATTTAATTATATTTGAATGACAATTCGATTCAAATTTAAATTAAATTTTAATTTTTTATAATATTATATAATATTTTAAAAAATTAAATCAAATCTAATATAATTTAAAGTGTTATCATCCTTACAATAAACAATGACTTGGCTTCCATTAAAAAGGGGAATGCTTAATTTTCAATTAATGTAGATCTATTTTCAACAATTAATGTGCAATTTATGTATGAATTAGATGAACATTTATTAGTAAGAAATCAAATTGTTTATTTCAGTTGAAATTTGTGCATTAACATTAAAAGTAGTAATATTCAATGAGAAAAAAAGTTTTATTGTGTCTACAAGAAATTTCAAGTGACAGTTTTCTTCTGAAAATTGACTTAGTCAAAAGGAAAAAAAAAGGTGCACAATCAAGAAAAGCAGACTGAGTGATCCCCTAGCTACCAATCTGTTTGACAAGAAGCCTGAATAACGTGTATGTGAAGCAAGATCTCTGAACCAAGACATCCAGGACAGATAGAGAGGGGAGAGAGAGAGAGAGAGAGAGAGAGAGGGAGACAGATTACATAAGCTCTATGCCTAAATTGTTCTGGTTTTTTTTTTTTTTTTTTTTCTGTTAAATGGATAGTATATGGTAAAATAGTGCTTGTCTGGTTTGTTTTTAATTAAAAAAATTTGAATATTAAGATAGTGTGATATTATCACAATTAAATTTGTCAAAAACAAAAATGTATTTTGCAATTAAGGTATGGACATAAATTTAATAAAATAATTTTTTATATTTTATATTTATTTAATATGATATAAATATAATCTAATATATAAAAATGTACTTATTACAATGAATTTTTTTATATTTAAAATTATCAAAATTGAAATTAAAAATCCCACGAGCTGTTAGCTACGAGCTTCCTTGATAAAGGTTAGCTATTCCAACTGCTCTCTTTGTCCTTTTGCACAGGGACTGACTCAAACACCCCTCTTTCTCTTTCTGTTCCTGGAATAAGACTATCATAATCTCATCATCATTGCGGGATTCTGAGAAAAATGAAGCAAAGAATGTGTTGTTTTCTCATTGTGGCTCTGCAGACAATAAGCTGGATTCATGTATCAACCAGGTCTTTAGCATCAGATGACGTTGAACCTCATCAAGGTTTGCCATTTATTTATCTTAATTAGTACTGCACAGCCGTTGGTCTGATTTGCATCTTTTTGCTGCAAATCGATTTCTTTGCCAATCTTTGGCCTTTTCCCTCTAGTGTCAGCAGAAAAGTTTCTTTTTGAGCTTTTCTCACGCTGGCTTAACCCTAAGTTTTTCTTTATTGTGGAAATATAAGAGAATCCAACTCCTAAAGATTCGGTTTCACACGATTAGTACTACTCTTTCTTTCAAACCTTACCTTGTCAATTTCTTCTTTTGTTGTTTTGCTAATTATCTAAACCTGTTCAAACAGATAAAGTTCGAGAGTTCTCGGGAGTTACCTTTGACTCTGAACAGGTTCACCATTGAAGTTTACTCTTTTTTCTGCCCTTTTGAGATCTTGAATTATGGTCTTGGACTCATTTTCTGGGTTTGCTTTTTTTTTTTTTTCTTTTTTCAGGGTCTTGAAAGCAAGGGAGTAGGTTATGGGAGTGAAGAAACATATAGTAGAATGCTGGTTAGACTTGGATCAAGGCCACCAAACTGCCAGCGTAAGTGTGGACGCTGCACTCCCTGTGTTGCCACTCAAATTCCTGCAAATTCTGATAAACTAGGAATTCAGAATACCAATTATGAGCCTGAAGGATGGAAATGCAAATGTGGATCCACTTTCTTCAATCCATAAATGCTGCTGGGGTCAATCTTTAGCAACTTTTTTTAGCATTATCTCTCTCTCTCTCTATATATATATATATCTCTCTTCTACAGGACTTAATGGGTAGAGTCAATTTGTCTTTTATCTTTCTTTGTTTAGGGTTTAGGTATAAAGAATTTTTGAGAGTGCTAATCTTTCAAGGTGGTTACCGGAATACAAAGAAAAGGTGCAGGTAAATTTTGGGGAGTGATGTCTTCCGGAGAATGAAGCCAGCCAGCCAGCCATGTGCTGGAGAAGGAAGTCTTGGTCGGGTAGAAAATCTTCATGTTCAGGGAGAGTGGGGGATTGAAGCCCATGGCCCAAACTCACTTGGATTGTAGACATTTTATTAGACCCTCGATTGGGTTTTTTTGGGGGTGGAATCGGAGCAGATAACCAGTATAATACCCCTTGTCGTTTTCCTTTCATAATTTCATCTTGTTGAAACGTTTTTGTGAATGGATATCAAATAAACTTTTAGAGTGGCTTTCAAAAAAAAAAAAAATTACTTTGCTCTTAACTTCTATAATAATAGCTTTAAGATTATAACCCAATAATACTTGTGCACCAAAATGGGAAAATAATAAGGAAGCTATACATCCGTTTCTTTTTTTTTTTTTTTAATAAATTTTGGGTCACAATGCGTTTTGCATGGTTATATTATCAACAGCTTCATCATGTGATAACAATAAAATAATGTACATGCCTGGAAGGAGTTGGTATGGTGTCCAAGGACAGGTTATAGGTCCAAATTCAAAGATTCTTCTCAATATTTGGGAGAATGATAAAAATTTGAGACTAAAATTTGGATTAAGCGTTGTCTCTAATATTAAATGAATTTGGATAAGAATTTAAAAACCTTTTAAAAATGATTGATAATTATACATTCAATGTTTTAATTTGCACAGTCGGATAATTAAATAATATATGTTATTAAGGTATATATATTATTTTAGTATTTTAGTAAAAATATGTATTTTAGTATATAATAAAAATATTTTAAGATATTAATGTCTTAAATTATAATAAATATATTATTTTTTTAAATGAACGAATATGAGCTATATTGTTTTGAACAAAATTTAAAATTCAAATAATCATGTTAGCCAATTTGAACTTAAGCAAACGTGTTGGGATGCCATATTTAAATATCGTTCACCCAACTAGGTTGATCCATAAACCTTGTTTATTATTGCAACATGACACTTTTTTCTTTGTAAATAAACTGAATGCATGAGAATATTAGATTATCCAATTATTCTTTTCTAAAAAAAACCTTTTTCTGCTCATATTATTTTAATTTATTTTTGTATGTAAAATAAAATAAGGTTAGGGTCAGTAATCTAATCCGTTTCTGACAGATTTTGATTCGATCTCATAAGATCAATTTTTTTTTTTGAAAATCAGATTTCGAGTATGGTCAACTCATATATTGCTAAGAAAAAATCGAAGTTAGATCGGATTCGAGTTTTAAGTAAATCCAATATGATATTTATATAAAATTTAATTTTTAAAATTTTTATTTATATATATTTATATAATTATATATTTAAATATTTATATTTAAAAAATAATATTTTATATTTTAAAAAATAATATTTTATTAATTTCGAATCAAATCATATACGATTTATATAATGTCAGATTGAATAAAAAAATAAATCAGATCAAATTTAAAACGAATAAAAATTCGTTTTAATTAAACTCTAAGTAAGACAAAATTAGAATCTCTTATTTTTCGTACCATTAAGCTGAGTTAAAGTGCTTGGTCCAAAAAAAAACAGCCAAGTTCTAAGTCTATATTCGAATCCAAATAACTCGTATATTTTTAAATATTGCTCAACGTCTAACTTAAATTTAAGAATTAAAATTTTTTTGAATAAAATTTAGATTTTTAATATTAAATTTTAGATATTTTTGTCGAAGGAGCAATCAGCTTAAAAGTGGAAAAGTCTGTCTAGTTTAATTGAATATTTGATTTTATACAACCATAATTATAGTAATTGTCATTAGTGGCAAAAAAAAAAAAAAAAACCCCCCAAATGCAGCAAGATCACGTGACAAATACGCTCCCTCAATAGATTACACACAGATAAAATGCACGTCACAGGCCGACCCAAAATAATTCCTTTTTTTACTCAGAGGAACTTTCGAATTGTTTGCACGCGTCGTAAACACGCGTGGCCAAGCATCTCTCTCTCGCACCCAGAATTTTATTTCTAAAGAAAAAAAAAAAGCGAAGTAAAAGAAAAAGAGAGACCCCACGACACATCACAAAAACACACACATCATCCGACGTTCGAAGCTTTTCTTTTTTCTCTGTTTGCTTTGATCGGATCAAATCCACAATGCGAGAAAACGAAGCTTCGAGAGTGAGAAAATATGCAAAATTTAACTGTTTTTAGAGAGACAAACAGAATTATGATTTCTTAGCTACTCCTTCCCTTTTTCCCCTTTCGATTAAGCTAACCTAACCCTAGTTTTTTTTTTTTCGTTAATGTTAATTTTTAATTGTTTTTTATTTGAAACAAACACAGAACTCTAGATCTTTTTTTCTTTTGATTTTTCGGTAAATTTTTTTTACGTGATCGAAATTTTGGATGTGTATGGATTGTCGGTGCAGTTGATTGGGTGTTTGGTTTCGCCTTATAGTTTCCTCGCTTTTTTTATTTGGGGGAGTCTTCTAAATTAGGGTTTTATTTTCATTTTTTTAGTTCTTTTAAGTTGAAATGATGGAGCCTCGTGTCGGTAATAAGTTTCGACTTGGTCGTAAGATCGGTAGCGGCTCTTTTGGAGAGATCTATCTGGGTTTGTTGCATTTTTTTTCCTTTTTTCTGTTTTTTTTATTTGCGTGATTTTAAATATAGTTAGGTGATTTTTTTTTCTTTGCAGGTACGAACATTCAGACAAATGAAGAGGTTGCCATTAAGCTTGTAAGTAGTTTTTGCATATTCACTTTATATTTTTGTTGAATTTTGTATGATTTTCTTGCTTTTATTTATAACTGTAGTTTATTGCATGTTAACGTTCTATAAAATAGCAGTGTAGTTGCTATTCTTGTTGGGTTTTAATCCGAAATCATGTTCATTAGATTTTGTCTGTTTACACAATCAGTTATAACTTAGTGATGCAGTTTAGCCATAGGATATATTGGAGCAAGAACTGTAGAAATCTGTAATTGTTTAGTTAGTTGGGTTCTGGGCTTCTAGCTTATGTGCATGGGAAGGAGAAATTCGATTCCAATAAATTAGAGGTGGTTCAAATGTACTGTCCTGGATAAAATTGTAATATTCAGGGAAAGCATGACAAGGGTGCTGATGTTTGGAGCCACTTGACGCTTTGGTTTATGCATACTGATTTTGGCTTGACTTGGCATTATCTTTTGTTTTAGTTTTGTTTTGTTTATATTTAGTTTCTTGACTCCCCATTAAATTGGCTTATTAATTTTGACTTAAATTGGTGGCATCATCATATCTCAACAAAAGGAGGATCAAAATTGTTCATAAGTGAATTTTTCTTATTTTCTAATGATTGGCTGGTATCATAGTGGAAAATAAGAATCTGCTTTCGGTGGTTATCTCCTGAGATAAATAAGGTTAAATGGGGTGAATTACCAATTTACTACTGTATGTTCGTTATTCTCATTATTTTCTTGATATTTGGTCTGAATTCATTTAATATTAATCAATGATACTTTTAAGTTTCTTTTTGAGGGGGCACTTTCAGTTTGAATGACATAATTAATAAATTAATCTTCTGCTTGAATTATTGGTTTGATTCAATTAGTTGAATGTGCACTGTTTAACAATTGCTTGTTTATATTAAAATTCATAATGATTTTTTTCTATTTTGTGGTTGTTTTAACCATAATAAATTCTTTTGTTACATAAGTTGATATCATTTTCTGTAATGGTCAGGAAAATGTGAAGACAAAGCATCCTCAATTGTTATATGAATCAAAGTTATACAGGATCTTGCAGGGAGGAAGTAATGATACTTTTGAGTTTTTTTTTTTCTTTCCAGAACATAAAGCTCTTGTTTCAACTAGTGGCTGTTTTTAAATTTCATATTTATAATCTTGTTTCTTATGCCAGCAACTATTTACTTTCCCTATCTTGATCTTTTTTTTGGCAGCTGGGATTCCAAATGTGAGATGGTTTGGAGTTGAGGGAGACTATAACGTTCTGGTTATGGATTTGCTTGGACCTAGCCTTGAAGATCTATTTAATTTCTGCAGTAGGAAACTCTCATTGAAGTCAGTTCTCATGCTTGCAGATCAAATGGTAGTTTTGTAGAATTTCATAAATTTGCCACTTCAGTTCCTCTTAATTTAATGTCTTGTCACTTAATGCTATTTTGGTTTTTCTCCCCAGATCAATCGTGTTGAATTTGTTCATTCAAAATCATTTCTACATCGAGATCTTAAGCCGGACAATTTTCTTATGGGCTTGGGAAGGCGTGCGAATCAGGTTCTGCTTTTTTGTCAAAATATTATTATGTTATATGTTTTTTTCTTTCTTTTTTTTTTTTTTTTTTGATTTATGTTGCAGGAGATTTTAATTTGGTATATTGTTTTACACTTTCACCTAGGTCTACATCATTGACTTCGGTCTTGCTAAGAAATATAGAGACAGTTCAACCCATCAACACATTCCTTACAGGTGAGAGAACTATCTATTGTATTTAACATGTAGTTTACAAGGCCTGGATTTGTTCCCATGCCCCTCCCCCCCTTTTAAAATGGAAAAAAAAAAAAAAAAAACTTTGTTTAACATCTTCTTGATTGGTTTGCTAATACCAATAGTCTCATCTGAGCTGATTCTACTACGAGATTCTCCTGATTGCACCTCTATTGTTCACCACTGGCTGATGACTATAGAGAAGGTTCATCCTCTTTTAGAAGAGACAACTTCTGATGGATTCCCATATTTCTTTTGTGATTATGATGAGTGTTATTGCTAATGTACCATATATGTTTTGGCATGAAAATGTTCATAGAGAAATGATATTATAATGAATTATAACTTATGTCAATACATGAATGAACTAAAATAATGCAGAAAAAATATGCAGTCATTTGGACAGTTAAGAGAACTTTTTCTGATAAATGTAAAGTTAACAAGCTTTTATTTTAGGTTCTATTACCTAAGATGACATGTTTCATTTTCTATTTTTGTTCCATAATCTGCGTGAAAATTAATTGATATCTGTCCCTGGTCTGCTTTTGTCTTCTGAGTTATGAGATTTTCCAACAAGGTTGGTTACAACATTTTAACTTATAGTTGTAATCTTTTAGCATGGCATGTATTTGTGAGTTTCCAAGATATAGCATTGTGAAGAACTGTCACAAATGTAGTCGTAATTCTTGTAGTGGTGGCAAGGATGACAAATTGGACTTCTTTGTATTTCACTGGCATGTCTATCTTTCTATATTCTTTTTAATGATTTATTCTGTTGATAATTTGTGGTGGATGTGCCAAGACAATTTTTTATATTCTACCTGGTCATGACCATTTCAGGGAAAATAAGAATCTGACTGGAACTGCAAGATATGCAAGCATGAACACGCACTTGGGCATCGGTATGTGTGGTCAATCTTATTTGTGATGTCTTTTCTTTAATGTATGGACATTTCAAGTCTTCTTAATTTGATCCTCTGGCCTATACCATGTAGAGCAAAGCCGTAGGGATGATTTAGAGTCTCTTGGATATGTGCTAATGTACTTCCTAAGAGGAAGGTGAATTCTTGCTACCTTTGTTACTTTCATTTTTGTCTTGTGTTCATTTCCTTAATAGTTTCCATTATTGGTGCCTCTTTTCTTTACAGTCTTCCTTGGCAAGGCCTGAAAGCTGGAACCAAGAAACAGAAATATGAGAAAATTAGTGAGAAGAAGGTTTCTACTTCAATTGAGGTAATGATGTCTTTAAATCTTGCGGTTGCATTAGGTTTCTTTAAAGGGTACTTGAGGTAATAGAAAGAGGTAGATGTGGTTTGGGGATTCTGATTTTACATACAAAAAATTTATGACTGAAGATTGATGCTGTTTCAGGCTTTATGTCGAGGTTATCCAACAGAATTTGCATCGTACTTCCATTATTGCCGTTCGCTAAGATTTGATGATAAGCCAGACTATGCTTATCTCAAAAGAATCTTTCGAGACCTCTTTATTCGTGAAGGTTTGAATTTACATTTTTAACAATCCATGCTGTGAACTTGTATTATTTCCACGGATCACAGTGATGTCATATCTTCTAATTGTTCTTTTTGATCCTTGCTAAATAGGCTTCCAGTTTGATTATGTTTTTGATTGGACCATTTTGAAGTATCAGCAATCACAGCTGGCCACTCCTTCAGCTCGAGCCCTTGTGAGTGCTTATTAGGATTTTACTTTGGTTAGTAATTAGTATGGAATGCATCTTTTGTAATTGCTTGTCTCTGTTAGGGCCCTGGCGCTGGAACAAGTTCTGGCCTGCCCCCTGCTATTGCCAATGCTGATAGACACGCAGGTAATTAGTGCTCCTTTCAGATAATTGATTCTCTTAATTAGCACTACTATTGATGTTTTGAAATTTTTATTGCTCAAGTGTGTGTCAACACCCACTCACACTTTTGCACGCCAGCAATGTTTCGTTTTCCAAAATTTTAAAATTTTCTTTGATATTTAATAAGAAAATGAAATATTTGCATTAGCATCACAATTGTCTTGAATAGTTTCTTTGAAGTTGAAATATAAAGTTCTGCTTGGAATTATACCATTTGCATCTCATGATTGCAGCTGGGGAGGACATTAGAGCAGCTGGTTTGTTATCCATGGATTCCTCTCGACGGAGAACATCAGGACCCTTGATGAATTCAGGAAGTTACTCAAAGCAAAAGAGTCCAGTTGCAAATGATCCTGCAATTACTAAAGACTCTATGGTATTTTTATTTTATTTTATGATTATGCACTTGAGATTTGTCATCAATGTTGTATTCTAGTTCCTTTGTGAGACCTTTATCATCAAGTCTTCTTTTTTGTTAAATTAGGATGCTTTTTTCAGTAGTTCATATATGCATATATATATGTATGTACAAAAGTTGGACACACACACATATATATATATATATATATATATATATATATATATGCTTCACATTCCCTGTCCATTTTTAGCAACAGATATTGGGTAGTTTGGAACTGCACCCACGTAGTCCTATTTCCTTTGATGGTAACATCGTATATTTTATTTCATTCTTATCTTTTTGTGCTAATTTGGATTTTACTTGCGCCAAGTTTATTGGGCAGTCAGGTGGATCCTCTTCAAGGCGAGTTGCAGCCTCTAGCAGTCGTGATGCTTTTGCTGGTAGTGAGGTTGACCCCCAACATTCTCGTACAAACAATGCTAGTCCTGGAGCATTGCACAAAATTTCAAGTCGACACAGAAGTCCTGTTGAATCTGCTGACCCTAAGCGGACATTGTCTGGGAGAAATACCTCTCATGTCAAGAACTATGAAGCTGCCCTCAAGGGAATCGAGGGCCTGCAATTTGAAAGTGATGAGAGAAATCATTACTAAATGCTCAGCTATACGAATTGTTGTAAAACCACGAAATGGTTGATGTGCAACAGAGTATGTTTCCTTGAGGTGGGTTGAGTTTTCAAGGAATTTGTAACTCGGAGCTCCTGATTTGGAATGGTGCACCCAAAGCATAAATTTCTCCACTGATGGAAAAGCTTGTGAAGTGAAATTTGACTGCATCAAAGTTATTGTCTGTAAAGGCTAAAAGTGTGGTAAGGTTATTTTTTAACAGAAAATTTTTTGGCCGGTATTTTTTAACTCACTGTTTTTGTGGTGTCCCTTTCGTCTTTAAGATTCTGCTTTCTCGGTCTTTGGGACTTCTTGAGGTTTGAAACTTTATGGCATTGTAAATTGTTTACTATATTCTTGTCACTGGTGTTCGTACCTACTTTTTCTTTCCTCTCTTTTCTGTTTTTTTTTTTTTTTTTTTTATGCTCGTAAGGCAAATTTTAGATTTTTTTCTTAGTATATATATATATATACACAAACACACACACACGGACATATACATATCAAGGGAAATTAGGATATAGGATATGATAATAAGATTTTATTCTTGTAGATTAAGGGAACTCAAGAGTAGGACCTAAATAGGATAATCGACAACATTGATTTGTCACGGGCTGGTTTCTGTTTGCAGTTCCTGTTGTGGATTTTTCTTTTCAACATTTTATTCTTCATAAATGAAGATAGTAATTGTAAGAAAAACATCCACTGTTTTGTCCAAATATTTTTCAAAAACACTAGTAACCAACGGAAAAATTATTAGCTTGAAATGAACTTGTCAAAGCAACCTATGTATGCATGGTGGACGGATAGCAGCCTCGGCAGTCGGCACTGACGAGTGCAGGGATATGCAAGTAGTTGCAGTCCCTTTTGCCCTGAATTCCTACAGATTATGGGTTCATTTTCATCAGGCAATCACCATTTGTACCATGAGTCTATGCTAACAGCGTCGATGTTCCAAATTGTCAAATGCATATGCCTTAAGAATTCAGGTACCTCACGTTTTGAGAAGACGACATGAGCCTCATATTATATGCAGAAGGCAAAGTTAAACCTGTAGAAAGGCTTCATATTCTATTAATTATCGTCTCAACGTATACCCAAGCATACAAAGCAAAAGCAAACGATTATTAATTCGAACCGGAAAGGGCATGACCATTCCGTTAAGAGAATTGATACATCTTCGGTTTTTTTTACCCATACATTCACTCAAATTAAGACTATAATAACAAAACAGCAGAGAAATTGAACAACCAAATTAAAAATTTACCACCATCCATAAACTACCCTACGGTACCCATCCTTGAGCCACCTAAAACTCTTCTTGAAAGACCCTTTCACCTTCCCTTCAACAGCGTAAACCTTATAGCTAGTTACTCTCTTCTTCCTCTGCAACTCCGGATCATTGAAACTCCAGCTCTTCGAAGAAGACCAATTAGTGGACTTTCCTTGTTTGAACTTAGCATCGTTATTTGGCATCTGGGTCTGGCCATGGCGTACTGTAGAGGCATAGGATGCATTGTAACACCTAAGATCTTGCATGCTATGGATACCATTCCCATATGACAAAGTGGGTCCGTTATGGTTCTCTATCTGCTGCATTCTTCCATCGCCACATGATTTGGATCGCAAGTCTTCCATGAATTCTTCTGCTCTCACAGAAACGAATAGCTGTAGCTACTGCCAATAAATTTAGTGGATTTTGTGCTTTGGAGCCTTGTGTTTGTGGAGTTATAGTCTATTTTCTTGTATGATTCCCCGATACCCTGACTTTAAATAATCAAATTGCGTCGGTGGTTTGTACGTAAAGTTAGGAACCAAACAAATAACTGAGGTTGGGCCATGTGTGTAATAAAAGCCGACTCACTTAATTCACATGTTTAATCTACCACTTTGTTACATTCAACCACATCATTATTTCACGTAATCCACCTAGTTCATATTATTAAAAAAAAAGATAATGTACTATTATTATTATTATTTATTTAGTAACAAAAATACTAATACTTAATTGTCTAAATAGCTTGAGGAGGTAATTTGCATGTCGAAACGTATCAATCTAAAATCTATATTAAAGCAGGATCACTCAAATATAGTAAAAATGAAAAAAAAAATGAATTCAAGATTTAATCAAATTAATAAATGCATTTACCTTAAAAAATCGTATTTAGTAAATTTTAAATTCAGATTTTAACTCATAAAACCTCTTTCTCCTATTTCAAGCCGAAACCTAATTTGTAAAAAAAATTAAAAAATAAAATTTCCTATATCATAGTCTATGTAAAGATGGCGTGGCTCTAACACCTTTGGGACAAAGGTAGGTTTTTATGGGCTCCACGAATATTAATATCGAGCACATAACATGTATTCGAGTTGTTTTTGCCCTGCAACTCCAGCTTTATTAAAGGATAATAAATAATGGAGTCTCTTTTCTCTCTCTCTCTCTCTCTCTCTTCCCTTTTTTTTTTCGTTTTAAAAAGACACTCTTAACTTTAAAAAGCTTTTTTCTTCTTCATCCACTAATGAAGATTTCAACCTTTTTAAACCAGAAAGAACAAGTTCAATAGAAAAGCAGACTTCATGCATTAAACAGTTTGAAAAACTAAATTCTCAAAAATAAATTATCAGTAAACTATAGAGAAGAAGGCTGTGCCTGAATTATGTACCCTTTTCAACTGAGAAACAACTAGCAGATTAATACGGTTACTTCATTTGTGGCATTGCTACTGCATTAGGCTTTCGAAATTGCTCGTGGCTTTGATGGAATTAACAAATAATCCGCTCGTGAAAATCATATATGATACATCAGACACCAAAGCATCTCAGCAGGAAGTGGCATGATGAATTGAAATATACAAATCCAAAGCAAGCAGAGCAATGGCACATGATGATAGATGAGTTACCGTGCAAAAACAATCTACAGCAGCTACTGGATCAAGTTTCATCAGGCACCGGGTTGTTATAGTAAGTAGTTTAATCAGCTTTCCCTTTGCGATTCATCAGATCATGCTAGTATAAAAGCACACACATTGGCTGTCCAAGAATGCAGAAAATGAACCAGAAAATCATACTTCCCACCTGGCATTGAAAAGAAGAATGTAAATGATCATTTGACAATGAATAGACGAGCATTAGCACTCCACTAGAGAAGGATATACTAGGTGATTGTCTACAGTACATCGCTCCCTTTACTTCATATCCTCTGGCCAAACAAATAAAGGAACAGAAGGAATATAGTTGTTACTTTACTTTTCTTCTCTTCCCACATATGGTACCTTGGCTTTTGCTATTACTCGTAATAGCCCTACAACACTACTACAAGCCCACTACCATACATTCAGACTCGTAGAATCAGACAGCCTCGTAATAACTTCTTCACATTTTCTCCATGTACTTTAACCATAAAGATGTTAATTCAGAAACGAAGTTCGATAACGAAAAATAAATTTAAAAAAAAATAGGTTAAGCTTCATAGATACAAATCAAAGTAAAAAGCATACCGTCGGGCTTCTAAACTTGTTTTGTGGATAATTTGTGATCAAGACCAAGGGAAACTGATAAAAAATTAGGAAGAGGAGGAGAAATAGTTTTGTCATAAATCTCATGTCTGATATCAATTCTTGTTTTACTAGTGCTGGTGCATTTAAAAGTGCCAAGTGATTATTGATCTTCATTTTTCTATATTAATGTACCAGAAACAAGAAAATTCTTACCTGAAACATCATGCCTATAAAAGCCCATAACTTAAATATGTGGCAAGGAACAGCAATGCAGAGCTGTAATAAAGTAAACAGAATTAAGAAACAATAGAAGAATACTCAATGTGGTAAAATATATTTATAGTACAAAGGAATTAAATAAGCATGCCATGTTCATTGTATAAACTGGAATTCAATCGCAGGAATTTCAGCACTAGCCTCTGTAAAACAACTGCCATAAAGCCATTTGATGGCATTCAATGGAGAGAGCATGAAAATATTCACATTTATCAAAGCTGTGGGTTGATAAACAGAGAAAAACTCCATAAGGTACTCTGGTGGTTAATCAGCTTGGGCAACATTCAAACTGTGTCATCAACAGATATAAGATCCGGCATTCTTATAATGGCAAGGTAGTTTATCCACTCTACAAGAAAAGAACATTTACTTCTCAATTTATACACTAATACTGTAAATTGTTTCCTCTTTCTTCTCCTTTGCCCAATTTATGCTTTTGTTGTGTGTACATGGCAAAAATCATCAACAACAAGCCCTGGCATCCCCCATTTTCTTTTTTCTCTTTCTGATAAGGTAACAACAAATGAAATGGTTAATGATGAACCATAAGTTTGGGCTAGTCAGCAAAAGTTGGTACCAGTTGTTAGGAATTTCAACTATACATTAATTTTTCAAGGTGAATCAAAGACAATCAAATGTCCAATAGAAAAGGTAACAGTTGGTGCATACCCAAAGTATTAGCACTGAACATATTTGCCATCATAAAACAACAATCTCATTTAAATGAATAATTATTAGAATCTCCACTCTCTTCTCCATCCACACAAGGCAAGTTAAAAGAATATAGGCTTATGGGAAAATAAATACCTCATGAAATACAGCAGAAACCAAGAAAGTAATAATGATGGCAACTCCCTAATAAGGAGGGAAAATAAAAAAAAAATCAATACAAAAATAGCCAACCAAAATTAAAAACATCACCGCGGAGAATAAATAACTATGAGATAATAGCATGCTTGATGGAAATTTACCATATTTCCTTCACTTGAAAACTAAAGAGCTAAAAATCATGACTAAAGCACTGAAGTTTTCAAAAAGGGGAATTCACCTTGGGCATACCATTCCTTAAGCATGGAAAATAGACATGGCGAACCATCCATTAATGAACAGGCTGTAATCAATTAAAATTCAGTCACCAATGGAAAAATGTAGATTTTTCCTTCTGAGTGTGAAAAGGAAAAATGGGAAAATAACATTTATCATGAAAAAAAAGGTAAAAATAGAAGGATGGAGATAACATGTAGGAAGCATTTTGATATTCTGAAAACTTAATAAAATTAAGGAAAGCAAAACCAGCCAATGAGACCTCGACTTGGTGTCAAGGAAGAGGCCCTAGAACCTTGAGGTCCCAAGTTCAAGTCCCACCATATGTGAGTTTGGTCCAATTTTATGTTAGATTTGTCCAATTATGCACTGGTTTGTTAATTGGTCTGTTTATCTGATTTAATTAAGTGATTTTTTATATGGATATAACACTTGATTATGATTGTAACTTCTCTTGTATGCAGTAACTTCATCAAAAAGGAGAGCAAAACCAGAGAAAGGGATTCAAGAATGAATGAAGATTATAAAAACATTGT